GCGATTTCAAGTTTAAAAATTACAGGCAAATTACCTTGATCCACACAGAATATCCCAGTAAAAAGAACTGAGTATGTGAAGCGTCCATTACGGTAAAAAGGTGCTTCCCACTTCACATGGGCTTTCCGGGATCCCTCTGTTTTGACAAACACATTTACTGTTCCTTCAGGAGGAGCTTCTAGAGTTCGATTTTCCACCTGTGAGTATAAAAAGATTTATTTTTGTTTGCAAATAAAATAAGTACATGCTTCGCTTTGAGCATATTTCTTCAAAGAATCTCTTTTTACTGTGAAGTAAACTATTTTGACAGTAGCATCTTGTATGAATACCTCATTTTGTCAGCAGGATCAAAGCATACCTCATGTTTTCTTCCCCCTGCTGTTAAAGCTTAGAATTTGAGCTCCTGACCAAGGCAGTTGTTTGTGATTTCCAGAATATATGGATCAGCTCACACTGTGATAGTGCCTATGGCTGTGCATAGCCATATACTATTTCTAAGGTTGCTTAAAAAATAATTTTTATATGATTGCAAAAGATAAGAAATGCACATAGCCTGTTTTCATAAGTTCCTGACTGAAGTGATAGACTTCTGGCCTTTTCAAAAAGCCACACCAAGCAACTTGACACAACACACACACACACACACACACACACACACACACACACACACACACTCGGACACACTTTTTTAAGAGCTGTTTTGCTAGGTATATAAAGATGGCACCGTGCTGACATTAAGAGATATATGCACATCAGGGACTCCACCTCCAAGATCCAATCACAAAAAATGTTGATATAGTGTTAATGAACTTGTGCAGAAAACAGCAAAAGATAAATTATTTGAATAGAAGTACTCTGAAATAAAATATAATCCCTAACTGCACAGAAGCCAGGAAGATTTCAATCGCTAAAACATAAAATGACTAAAGAAAGAGGAAATAGAAATTAGAAAGGGGCGAGCAACCCCCTCGGGCCTCCTCCCACTGTGGGAGCTTTTCTGTCCTCTTAATAAATTCTGCTTTAATTTAAAAAGAAAGAAAAAAAGAAAGAGAGAAAGAAAGAAAGAAAGAAAGAAAGAAAGAAAGAAAGAAAGAAAGAAAGAAAGAAAGGAAAGAAAGGAAAGAAAGGAAAGAAGGAAAGAAGGAAAGAAAGAGGAAAGGAACTTAGAATTTCTTACTGTCTTTTAATCACTGGCTTAGGCTTAGTTATCTAATCATTATGAACTCATAAGCATCACTCATAAATATTTGACCTTTTACAAGTTATTGAATGTGTTGATAATTTCAACTTTATTCTTAAAGCACAGGCTCATGCCTCCCAAGAAGGTGATCAAACATGAAATCCTTAGGCAGGCAAATATTCTCAATTATGAAACCTTTATTTGTTAGGGTGAATACACTTTGTCAATTATGAAAATAAATGTGAAAAAGACAGAGTGTTAATTTTTAATAAGTATGAAGTCACAACATGTTTTATTTTTATCAGAGAAAAGCTATGGGGTTCTTTGGATCTATAATTTCTATTCATTATATTATAGCCTAATAGCTATGTTCAAAAATTATAAAGAAATGAGGATGGAAAAATATCAATTCATCATTTTAATATTTTGTAACAATGCAGTTTCATTATGTCCATGTATATAGTTCAAATTATTATATAGAAAATTATTTTAAAGCATTCCAAATAAATAAGCCTCAAACAAGGGTACCTACATAATGAATATTTGTATACCTAACCCTGAATTGTACCCTACATTTTTAAAATAAAAAATAGATAAAAACAAAATAAAATGAGATTCAAAAAGTTGAAGAATTAGCAGAAATTCCAGATAATTATATTACAATCTTCAAACATCTGATACATTTAAAATAAAGATGTTTTATAAAATGTCCTTAAGTATTTGGATAAGCACTTCAGTTTTTATTGTACATTAAATTTGGCAACTGTAATACTTTGCTCTGGTCTTTTTAAAAAAACTTTTTTGTTTATCTACCTTGTCTTAAAAGGAATATTAAAGAAATGGCACTGGGGAAGGTAAATGTTGGCTTAACTTTGAGCTGGAAACCTCCCTGGACACAGAAAAAATATTTGAGAACAAATGTACTGTAAAAACATACAAACATTGTAATAAAATGCTATTCTTAATAAAACTCTTACTATGTTCCAGAAATTCTTGCCTAAGTGATATTTTATTTAATTTTTTACAGCAACTCTCTTAAGGTAGGCATTACTTCTCTTGTAATAGTTGAGAAATCCGAGGCATGAAAGAAGATGTATGTTTCCTCAGGAGATATGGGAAATGACAGCAGGGTTAGGGCAGACTTCTCATATGGGGTTTTCTTGATCATAATATATACTTCCATTAAGATTTAGATGTCTTAAATAGCACATTGACTTGTTTCTTTGCAAAAAATTATTGTGAAAGTGTGAATGTGTGTATACATGTATGTATCTGGATGTTTTTATTTGTATAAGTATGCCATCACTGAGAAATCAGGCAGCTTTTTAATCATATCACACAGCAGTGACCTATAGTTTTGTACCTTATCCTTAAAAGGGCCCTGGAGAATCGATACAATGAATGTTCCAAGACCAGACACAATCATAAAATTCTCAACCTTAGACTCCACTAGTTAACGTTATCTAACATTGGCTAAGTGGGGTGGGGAAGAAGCAAAGAGATTTTCCTATGAAAAAAAATCATTGTATTCTGTTCTAGAAACACAAAATGTGAAGTGGCTCTTTCTGATATAATTGAAAGCAAGGAAAGCATTTAAAAAGTCTATGCTGCATTCTGTTAATTTTTTCATTATTTCAAACAGTTATAAAACCCCTATTACTGGATTTAATTTGACAATGTATATTAGCATCTTGAAATTAGAATCAAAAGCACTGTAAATTGTTTTTTATACTGGAATTTTTTAAAAAGTTAAATACATTGTTTAAATGGATAAGAGTTCAATAAGCCACAGAAGAATCTTTTTGTCAGAATCTTTTTGTCTATTTCTTCTGAACCACAATGAACAGCTAACAAACTTTGGTTAGACTGGGAAAACAAAATGAAATGAGTTAGTACTACACTAAAAAGATCAGAATAAGAAATTTAGCCAAACTTTACCTGTATGATGATCACTTATGTACCTAACCCTGAATTGTACCTCAAATCTTAAAGAAATGATTTTACTAATTTAAAATGTTGTTCTTCTATTATATAAGCAACTTGCTATTTTTGAGGGTGAGCCATACCACATTTGAGACCATGAAGCATATTTGTCACAGAAAACATTGAACAGTATTTCCCTTCATGCATGGATAACATGATATTAAATATAGAGAAGATGTAAAATAAATACGCTTCTCTTGCTAAAATACTGGAATTATCATTTAAAACGTTATTAGGGCCAGACTCGGTGCCTCAGCCTGTAATCCCGCGCCTTTAGGAGGCTGAGGTGAGTGGATTGCCTGAGCCCGTGGGTTCGAGACCTGCCTGGGCAGGCGAGACCTCATCTCTACAATAAATCAAAAAATTAGCCAGGTGTGGTAGCGCGCACCTAGAGTTTCAGCTACTTGGAAGGCTGAGGTGGAAGGATCGCCAGAGCCCAGCAGATCGAGGCTGTCCCGGCCACTGCACTCCAGTCTGGGTGACAGTGAGACTCCAACTCAAAAAAAAAAAGTAAAAAAAATGTTATTAGGTGAACTAAACATTAGACACTTTAAAAAATTTATTCTTTTACTTTTCCAGCAAAAGATTTAAAAATAGAAATAACATCTTTGTTTCAATGAAATATTTTATTTGAAATGTTATGGTATTGGACTTTGGATAAAGAATTCCTGTATACCATTGGCTAAATTTTGTTGAATATCACATTATAATTTATGATAGGCAAGTCTGGCTTTTAGGATTGATTCATAGATTTCTTAAATCAACAAGGACACATTAAAAAGAATCATCAACCAAAAGGAGCTGAATCTGTAATACCCTTCATGATTATGATAGCTATCCAGGACTATTTAGAATACTCAGATATGTAATCGCTTAAGGGCATAACATGCAATATAATTGGCACAAAAATATTTCAGAAACCAGTTGAAGACCTGGGTTTTAGCTTCTTGGCAGCATATAGTTGACTTGTTCTAAATAAAGACATTGCTGTTCAATCCCAGTGATTAGAGATGTATTATTGACTAAGGAAAAGTGTTTGCATACTGAGTACAGGATAAAGAAAAGTACCCAGGGAGAAAAAACCTCTGTGCTATAAGTCAGGATTGAGTCTAGAAACTATGAAGCCGTAGCAGAGCAGGTCTTACAATCCAATTCTGTTCTCCCCATTCTCATCAGAGCATTGTGGCATTTGATTTCTTATGGTTAAAGTCTGCTACTATCTGCAGGATGCAGATCGATAATGGTGTCCCCCTTATTTAAAGTTGCCAGTACATCAGGAGACAGTGTGGAACCAATTTAGTAGCCAGTTTACATTTTGAAAAAGTGTAAATTTCAAGCTCATGTGACATGTTCTTTTGTTTCTTTTTCCTTTTCTGAATGAAGAAGAAAAGCTGGCCTATTGCCATTCCTGCTTTTAAGCATAAGTATCCATCAGAGGGGTCTGGGCTATAAAATGCTTAATGGCAGTAAAGGCTACAACTCAGCTCCACGGATGGATGATGTTAGCTGCTTGGAAAGCAACGAATCTATGAAACAAAATGAGAAGTATAACCAAAAATAAGGATGCAAAAATTAAACCACAGTGCTGTTTTTCAAGGTAATATTTATATAATACATTCTTTAATGAAGACAGAGTACATTGAAATTATAGGGATTTAGAAAACATTGCCAAAAAATCTAAAACTAATGAGTATTTCCCTTAAAATATACAATCTAATTAATCAAGAAAAATGCACAAAAGCACATTTTTAATGTGATGTTTTGAAACCAAAGAATGCCCTGATAGTTTATAACAATTATGTACTACTGAGGTTTAAAATTATGAGAAATAGAAAAGTATACTTTTATCCATCTTTTAACTGCAAATGAGAGATAGATACACATTTCAGATACGATTTCTTAAATTGTGAATATCAAAAGCTGATATTAATGCAACTTCAAATACTATTCTTAGGAAGCTAAATCACATGAGTAAAATGCACCTATTTTATTCCAATAGATGAAGTAACTCAACCTTTTAACTGATTAACCTGTTTGTCATGGAGCATTGTCACTATATTGTGACAATTATGGATTTTCAATTATTTCCATCTTATAATTTTAAACTTACTTAGATGTTAAAATGTTTTGGAAGAAAAACATCCACCTTAAGTACGTCACTAAATTAGACAAAATTTTATATTTGCCTACGAAACCAGTCAACTTTCCTTTCTTTCAGTAAAATGTATATATTCTGCCCTTCACTAGACCTATGAGCAGTCTTGAAATTTATGTTGAATATAAAATCTTAGTAACTCTTAAATGAACTTTTATAAAAAGAAAAATCTCCCATCATGTTTGAAAGGCTAGCTGTGCAGAGAGTGAGTCACCACCACTTACTCCTTCCTTGATATTCAGTGTCATCTGACATTTAATACATACCCAGAATGTAAATTCACATACTCACCAGTGGGCCCAAAGCACAACCTTTGACTGTGCACGCCTGGACTCTGAAGGAATGTAAGCTCCAAGGAGCAAATCCATAAGCATGACAGCTGAGTTTTGAAGAATTGTGAATTAATATACCATCTAGATATAATCCATAACTTGTGATAACACCTGGGAAGATAATAATTGTCTTTTAGTATGACTATTAGACAATAGCAAAGACTGTCTTAAAAAAGACAAGTACTTCTTGATGTGATTTCAAGTTTCATGGAATCACTAAATCACAGTATTTGGTACTTGTCCTTGTCTAAATCCTGTTTTTTCTTATTGATAAAATAGGCTTTACCCTTGAATAACAAATTGTTAAGGTCATTAAGACAAAAACAGAAATAGAACCCATAGTTTCAGTATGGGAATCTTTCTATTGCATCATGTTAACTGCTGTCATTTGTATTACAGATCAAAAGTGAATAAATTAATCACATTTATAATGTTTATTACTTAAAAATATTCTTAATAGGTGTGTTCCCAAAGTAAAGTGACCTTATTTGTTAGTGCATTATATATTACTCAAATATATCAGACACTGTTCTAAAAACCTGACAGGTATTGACTCCTTTTTAACCCTCTCTTTACAGCACTACTATAATAAAGGCAATATTATTGTAATCTTCTTACAGATGAGAGTATTGAAGCATAGAGATGAGGTAACTTGCTCAAAGTTCATAGACAGGAAGTGTCTTGAGTCAGGACTTGAATCTTGGTAGTTAATTAAACACCAGAACACTTGCTCTCAACTACAAAATTAAATCACCTAAATACAAAGTCTTGCACTAATTATACACATTACATTCATGGGGCACTCATAAATGGGTTAAAGAAACTGTTGGGAGCCAACATCTATAGCTACATGGCTGAGGCCTGTAAAGGCCATCTGGAAGATAGCCTCTGACATAGGATATCAGTTATACCTATAATATTGGCGTGTGATTAGTGACCAGTATGCATACATGGCAGTAAAACTTGTAAGTAAATCTCAATACACCTGATGGAAAGTGCATAGCAGAATTATTTCTCTCTGTCTTTCTAAGTTTTACTTCTTTCTAGATATTTTTTAACTTCTATTTCCTGGTAGACTGGGTAGTCAGCTCTTGTTCCGGAAAGCTGTTTCCCCTAGGGCTAAGATTAGAAACTAAATTACCATGATAGTTTTGTTGCCCTGCCCCTAGCCAGGCAGAACATTTTCTTTTGTTTCGTTAATTACCGAAACTCTGTCTGCTTCAGCCCATGGCCGCCATCTTGGCAACCCTGCATTTCCTTGTTCAAGAGTGTGACAGCTACTATTTGATTTTTAGAGTAGACTTGTTAGGATAAAATATATACATATACACTCATAGTTGCATAAATTTATGCTTGCTGTTTTGTTTCCTTTTGCTACATTATTCAAGTGTAATAGTTACTATACGATTTATAAAAGAATTAACGATAAGGTATTAGCTTAATAGGATATAGCATAGTATTAAAGTCCAATCACTAGATCATATAAAAATTAAAGTTTAGACATATGAAACATATGAATTATAGTAAAGTTTTGTAGTTTAAGAATAAGTTTTAACTGAGTTATAAGGCATTACGTTAAATCATAATAGGTTAATAGTATAACTGATAGTTAAGTCATTTAACTAAACTTATAGATTATAGTATAGTGTTAAGTTGATAATATTAATTGTTAAAAATATTGGGAATCAGTGAACTTGGATTGAACCTAGAGTTAACTCAGGAAAGTTTTTTGTATTAATCAGGGTATAGAGCAAAGAGTATAATATGAATGATTCATTGAACATTATGGAAAACACTTTGAACGATTTGTATTGAAATTGTGCACCTGTGACCTTAATGTAAGCATGGCA